TGTGTGACGAGTGTGTGTTATGTGTGTGTGTGTGTTGTGTGTGTGTGTGTGTGTGTGTGTGTGTGATGTGTGTGTGTGTGTGTGTGTTGTGTTGTGTGTGTGTGTGTGTGACGAGTGTGAGGAGCATTTCAATGAGCAGCTGCAGTGAGGATCTTTGTGAATCTGCAGCGAAAATCAACACAAAACTGATTCAAAGATTTAAGGGTTTTGGATCATAAATATAATGTTTCCCACAGTCATGGAAATCCTGGAAAAGTCATGGAGTTTTAGTGTCTCTTTCACGCAGCTCCAGTGTTCTGTTCAGTTCTCATGAGTCTGTTCTGATTATTTGTGAACGTCTGCACCTTTTGTTTAAAAGAGACAATAAATGCACTGACAGGATTTAGAATGTTCAAAAACTACAACCAAACCATAATTTCACATTTATTAGAGATGTAACCATATCCAAATCTCTATTTATTCAATATTTATTCAGATATTTTGGAGAGGTAATATAATTTTCTGCTTTTAAAAGACCTTGACAAGATTTTGGTGTGAATTATTTCTGTCATAATCCCATGAATTCAAGTAAAAAACATATAAACGTAACATTGTCTGCGTTGAAATGAATCATGGGAAATGTAGTTCCTGATGTTTTTCAGCTGTTGCTTCTATAAAACAATGAATTTAAGCAAAGGATTTTGTAATTTGAGGTATTATTTTGAGACTTTTGACATGATGTTTTGTTTTTTGTTACATAATATTTAGTCTGATCAATTCTTCACATGTAGGTGCTGTAAAGTCATGGAAAATTGACTTCAGGTCATGAAAAAGTCATGGAAAAGTTTTGAAATGTTGTCAGTGAAAAAGCGTGGGAACCCTGTGAAATGTTTGTCGTGTATTTTTGTGTTTGTTTTAGTCTCATCTCTCAATATTCGAAGAGGAAAAGTCGGTTTAGACTTTAATATTAGTCGAGATGGAACAATATGTAAAACTCACAGTACGATATTTATTGAGATATTTTGGAAATAATTTGTGATAATTGTAGATAAGTCACTTTTTTTTTGCTTTTAAAAGATCTTGACAAGAATTTGGTGTGAATTATTTCCGTCATAATCCCAAGAATTCAAGTTAAAAACATGTTTCTTCATGTTGTCTGAGCTGAAATGCATCATGGGAAATGTAGTTCTCTATGTTTATAAACTGCTGCTTCTACAAAACCACGAATTTAAGCAAAGGATTTTGTAATTTTATATATTGTGAGACTTTCGATGATACAATGTTATGATATTTTGGTTATTTTTACATTTATATCTTTACAGGTCATGGAAAATTCACTTTAAGTCATGGAAAAGTCATGGAAAAGTTTTGAAATGTCAGTAAAAAAGTGTGGGACCCCTGTGAAATGTTTGTTGTGTATTTTTGTGTTTTCTTTGCAGATGAGACTAAACCAAATAAAATCTAAATAAAACTTAGACAATAACAGGGCTCCTCTGGTCCTGGAAATCCTGGAAAAGTCATGGAATTTTTGAAAAGCTGATATAATTCTAGATATAGATAAGACACTTTTTTGCTTCAAAAACACCTTGACAAGATTTTGGTGTAAATTATTTCCATCATAATCCCAAGAATTCAATTAAGAAATGCATCATGGGAAATGTAGTTTTCTACATTTATTAGTTATTGCTTCTATAAAACCTGAATTTATACAAAGAATTTTGTAATTTGCTATATTATTGTGGGACTTTTGACGATACGATATCACGATATTTAGTTTTTTTACATCCCTGATATTTAGTCTGATCAATTCTTCACATGTAGGTGCTGTAAAGTCATGGAAAAGTTTTGAAATGTCAGTGAAAAAGAGGGAACCCTGTGAAATGTTTGTGTTTTTGTGTTTGTTTTAGTCTCCATCCATCCATCCATTTTCTTCCGCTTATCCGGGGCCGGGTCGCGGGGGCAGCAGTCTAAGCAGGGACTCCCAGAACTTCCTTCACCCCAGACACGTCCTCCAGCTCTTGGTAGCCTCATCTCTCAATATTCAAGAGGAAAAGTCAGTTTAGACTTTAAGATGCATCTCACGATACGATATTTACTGAAATATTTTGTTGAGACTGATATAATTTTTTGCTTTTAAAATACCATGACAAGATTTTGTTGAGATTATGATGGAAATATTTAACAAGAATTCAAGTAAAAATCAATTCTGATCAATTCTACACTTATAGGAGCCATAAAGTCATGGAAAATTCACTTTAGGTCATGAAAAAGTTTTGAAATTGTGTCAGTGTAAAATGTATGTAGTGTATTTTTATGTTTAGTCTCATGTGCAAAGAAAACTAAAATCCAAATTATATTTAACAACTATTTAAATAATTAAAATGACACTTCCTGTCGTTTCAAAATAAAAACACTGATCTGAGAATGAGGTTAACTCCAGACAAGACTTGGACTTTTCCAAAAATACGGGTTTATTTAACTGCAATCAATACTTTACAAAAGAGAAACAGTTTGTCTCCGTAGAAACTCACAGAATTACTGTAGTGAACATAAAAACATGGCTGAAAAAATACATTCATATTTGACTTTCTTTGCGTCGAATCGTTCTCCGCTCTTTAAACACGCGAAGGCAACACAGGAACGGCCGACTCCAGGAAAAAAAACTAAACAAAAACAACAAATCACCGTCCGAGTTTTCAGATATTCGAGAGGAAAAGGCGGTTTAGACGTTTTAATCGTAGCTACCTGGAATGTTGTAAAAGGCTCTCAGAGGTCGAAGAGGGGCCAAGCAAGTGCATCCAATCATATCAACAAGGAAACAAAACAAAACAGAACTTTCCAGAACCCTTTTGGTGACAGCTGTTGCTCGGAATAACAGTGGGTTTTTACAGAAGTCCGGTCTCCGCGGAAAAGACCGTAGTGCACCCCAGGACAACACAAAGTACACGCAAAATACTCGGGATACTTTGACAGTGGAGGATGGGATTGCAGTCCGATAAAGAGGGAAAAGTAATAAATAATAATAATAATAATAATAATCAAAACGCAAATGTCTTTTTTGCTTTAAATTAACTTTCTTTTTGACAAAGTGTAGTTGCAAGAACAAAAGTCATTGAAGTACAATATATTAAACTGTGAAAAAAGGAAAACTTGACAAAAACGTCTTCACAATCTTTAGATTAATACGGAAGATCATAATTTAACATAAAAGAAAATATATTCTATTGCTCATTATCCAGATAAATACAAAACAAAATTAACAAAAAATGCATATGATCACCAATAAATATGTTCTGATAAGTTAAATAAGCAGTGACAAGCAAAAACCTTCTGTCTGGAAAGTTTCTCAAACAATAATAATAACCGTAATAATAACATTAATAAAAAATAATTATCAAACAAAGAAAGCGAAGGGCTGTGATGAGCGGAGAGAAAGAGAAGGAGACGGAGAGGGAGAGAGAGAGAGGAGGGAGGAGGGGGTGGAACAGTGAAATAGCTTGAGATCTGATCAGGATGTAATGGGAATGCTGGAATTCCCCCAGTACGGAAAGGGGCGGGGCTAGGAGCAGTTTGATATCAGGGTTTCCTTCCCCCCCCCAGAGAGGCAGTGTCCAGCAACACGAGGAAAGAGAGAGAGAGTTTAAGAACAGAGAGAGAGAGAGAGGGAGGGGCAGACCCAACTTCCAGTTCAAAGAGTCCTTCCAGCAGAATCACCCAGTCCACAAAGACGTCAGGTTTGTGAGGGAGAGAGAAGAACCAAACACAGTCCATTCACCCAAAACACGCAGAAACCAGCCTCGTCCTGTTAAAAACTAAAGTCCTGTGAGGGCTGGAGCCGCTGCAGTCCGGAGCGCTCGGCTAAGGCAGTGGTTACAGTGGGACAGGGTCTAGTGCAAAGCCCCAGTCTCTGTGCTGCTACACATTCAACGACGAGGAACAAACGACGAGGAACAAACAACGAGAAACAAACGAGGCCACCTGCTCCAGTCTCATCCTCCAGTTTGGCACTATGACACACGCACGGCAAGACTGTGCACAGTACAATGAAATGTGTGTACGTTCCCTTAAAGACCACGTCCACAGATGAGGAGCTGGGACAGGGGGACAGGGGGACAGGGGCAGAGGTAGGGGGAGTGAGTCAGTTAGTCGTAAGATCTGAAGAGTGCCATGAGGACAGTTAGTCAGAGACGCAGGGGGACAGTTAGTCGTCGGAGATGGACAGGCGGCTGAAGATGGGCAGGCGGCGCGTGTTGTCCAGAGTTGGGCTCTCGGAGCCGCTCAGGCTGCCCCCGGAGCTGCTCTGGTAGCCCTCCTGGTCCGACAGAGAGTCCGGGGGGCTGCAGGGAGCGTCGAACATGTGGGGGGAGTCCACCATGGGTCTGAAATAGTACGGCGTGCCGGTGGGGGAGGGGGGGCTGGCCTCCGAGCCCACGGGACCCGTCCCCAGGCTGGGCCCGAACAGGCTGGCCAGCTCCTGGCTGGAGTAGGTGAAGGGGTTACTGCTGGGCCACTCGGGGAGCTCGTCCGGGAAGAAGGCGGGGGGAGGGGTGACGGAGGTGGGACTGTCCCTCAGACCGGCCGAGCTGGAGAAGCCCGCGAAGCTGTAGCTGTGCTGCAGGCGGGGGCGCTCCAGCTTGTTGGAGGGGTTGAGGGGCGTGGTCTGAGGGGGTCCCCGGCGCTCCTCCGCGTTGTGGATGAAGTGGCAGCGGGGGCCGTAGGGGCAGAAGCCGATGGTGTGGAAGGTGCGGCACAGCTCCGTCTTGTACTTGGGGTGACGGCTCAGGCTGCGCAGTTCGTGGATGCCGTGAGCAAACTGACACTTGTCTCCATATTTACAGGAGCCGTTCTCCTCGAAGGGACGGCACAGCTCCGTCTTGTAGCGGCTGGAGTTGACCTGGCTGCCCCCGGTGGGGCTGGCCGGGCCCAGGCACTTGTTGAGGAGTCGCTCCCCCGTTTCGGAGAAGGAGCGCTCCCGGAGGCGGTTCTCCTTGTTGTTGTTTAGCCCTGAGATGAGGCCGTGGTCCGTGGCCTTCAAACTGCTGAGGAACTGGTTCTGGCTGAACTTGGTGCTGCTGACGGAGTGGCGTCTCTGGTACACGCCTGAGGGGGAGCCCACAGCCTTCCTGTCCAGCAGGGCTCCGGGGCTCGAGAGGGGCACGTTTGTGCCAGTGCAAGGGGCAGACATGGTGTGAGGGGCCAGGTGGTTGTTGTTGTTGTAGCTGAGCAGTTTGTTGTTCTGTAAAAAACACAAAATGCAACAGGTCAGAATAAAGTCAGACACTGAAGTGCTTCTCGTTAGCGCTGGAGCAGAGCAGAGGGAGACAGAAGGACCCGGCTCCTCTGGCTCCTCTGGATGCCTGTGTGGAGCCTGTGTGGAGCCTGTGCGGAGCCTGTGCGGAGCCTGTGTTCTTCTCCTGAGCTTTTGCTCTTTGCGCTTTTGGCGGATGCGGCGCAGAGCAGCAGCTGGTTTGGCACGCGGCCCCGGGAGGAATGTGAGGCTTTAGTAAATGGAGCAGCGCACGAGGCGCTGAATCATTTGGAAGAGAAAAGGACACGACACCGAAAAAAGCCGCTCGATTCTCTTCCAAATGAGCGTCGTGTTTATTATTAATCTCTCATTTACATGACTATAAACCCGCTGCGCAGACCGCGGGAGAATCCGACACTCAAAACTTCCACAGAAACGCAAACAAAACTGAAGCAGCAAAAACGCGCTGTTTTAAAGTCTAGATTTACGCGGGTGAACTCAAATACACGAGTTTGAGTCGCAGCTTGAGGCCAGAGCCAGACTCATGTGGTGAATGATTAGCGAACATGCGGCCGCTTTGTGCACAGCGTTAAAAAGTGGCGCAAAAATGCTGCAATGTGCAGATATTTGAACTGAGGCGAAGTTTAACGACTGTTCAGCCCGTTTAACTTGTAAACAAATCTATAAAGCTGTGTCACAAGCCGGAGACACGACTGTTGTCTATGCAAATACAACTTTTGAACGTGCAGCAACTTGTGGATCACGTTACCGCCGCATTTTACGCACGAAAAAAACAAAAACAAAATAAGCACAAAACGTGGCAAGATTTGACTGTAAACTGTTGATTAAAACGCAACGTGCAGCCGAAGCGGGGCCGACACGGGCTCAGACAGACACTGAATCAGAACTGGCCCGAGGCAACCCCAGCAAAATCCATAAAACAACTTTTGGTCTCTGCAACTCCCAAAAGTCTAAAGCAAACACGCAAGATTTGGCGCAAAAACGTCACAAGCGCTTAAAGAAGTGACTCAAACTAAACAAGGAGCGAGATTTCCAAAAAAAAAGTTGCATTAGACGTGGAAAAGGCACGAAAACACGCCGATGTGTCGCGTCCACGGAGGCAGTGGAGCAGCGGAGGCCGACCGAGCTGCGCCTCATTCCAACACAGCGGCGGCTACGTGCTAACAGCTAACTCCAGACGCGACAAAAGTTTGGTAAGTACCTTGTTCATTACTTCAAAGTCGAAGAAAGGCGACACTACAGCTGTGGTCATCCTTGCAGCGACTCGACTGCGCTGAAAAAGAGGAGAAGTGCGTGTGGCGGAGAGGTGCGCGGGGTTTGTGGAGTTTCTCGGCGCGGCTCCAGTTCTGGTGTTCGGCCTCGCCTCGCAGAACTGCCCCTCTGCCCTGGTGCCGCGCCGACTTTTGGGTTTTAAGAGCGGCCGGAGCGCGGGAGGAGCCTGGGGAAGTGCGGGGCGGTGACTTTTTTTTTTTTTTTTTTTTTTTTTCGCACACTTTTTTTTGTTCTTCCTTGAAGCGCGCGGGGAGGAAGGAGGGGGGCGGGGGGCTTTTGTTTGGCACAGTTCCACCCGCACACGAGGCGGCCGCAGCGCGTAAAAACTCCTGCAGAAAGTTGTTTGTTTTTTTTTGCAGCAAAGTCGAGCAGAACGAGTCAAATAAAGTGAATAAAGTGAAGCGGATCCACGGCGAGGACGCGCGCTTCTGCACGTTTCGGACTTCGCACCGAAACTTTGGAGCTTTGACTTTATTTTTAGATCGTTAAATAAACATTTTGTGTGTCTGAAGTCAACTTTTACAACTAATCTATAACCCAAACACACCTGCTAAAGCTGCACGGTGTAACTTTTCAAGTGGAGGGTCAAATGTCAAATGTAGAGTGAGAAGATTTTCAAAATAAAACAAACAAAACAAAACTGCAGCACTCCGGGTTTGTGGAGGTTGGTAATAAGTAGTGAAATGTGAAGTGAGTGTGTAATTAAGTAAATTTGTTCAGCACTTGGAGCATTCATGAGGAACATGTGAGTCAGTACAGTCACTTTTTTGTGTTTTGATCATTTTTAAGCAGGATTTTTTTGTATTTTACCCAAACAAATGACAGTTTTTGTGTCTTTTTACTGTTGTCAAGTTCCAAATTGGTCAAAATGAGAAACACTTGTCTGAGGTACGAAAGATTTCAGAAATATTTGTGTGCATATTTGAAAAATCGGTGCATATTTGTCTGTAGTTGAGCATAAAATAAATATTTGTAAACTCTCAAATCTCGAACATATAAACTAAACTCTTGAACAACTAAAGTCTCAAATCTCTAACAACTAAAAACTAAACTAAACTCTTGAATCTTGAACAACTGTAACTAAATAATTCAGCAAAATTTACCAAAAAATCCTCTTGCCGATATATCGATCCAGCAGCCCACGATACGATACTGTATCATCACATTAAACGATACGATATATCGATATTTCAATATTTTTGCATGTTTCTACTCTTCACTGTTGACAGGATCAGATTTGTCAAAAATAGAGACACTTGTATGAAGTACCAAAACTTTCAGAAATATTTGTGTGCATATTTGAGAAATCGGTGCATATTTGTCTGTGGTTGAGCATAAATAAATATTGTTAAACTCTGGAATGAGTCCAGTCGTGCATAAAATGTGAAAAGTTGAAACGTTGGGAAAAAGTTGGAAAGTTATAACGTCAAGAATTACAATCACAAAATGAAAATGTACAATTAAACTTTCTTCAGTACGAACACGAATTCACAGACGCGACTCGACTGTCAAAAATACAACCTCACTTCACAGGCAGAAGAAACATCGATCGAGATGTCGGACATGGACTCGTTCAGAAGTCGCGTCTGTGAATTCTGAAAAAAGTGTACGGTATTTTTCAGGCTATAAGTGTCACTTTTTTCATGGTTTGGGTGTTTCCTGTGACGTGTATCGATCAAGCGGCGAGTGAAGAAGAAGAACAACAACGTGAAAAGTAAAGGAACGGAGAAGTTGGAAACGTAAGTAAAAGTAATTTATTGTTTTATCATTATTCGTTTCACGTTGTAGTTCTTCTTCTTCTTCTTCACTTGCCGCTTGATCGGTCCGTCAGAAAATAGAGTCCCGCGGTCACTTCTGTTGTGGCTTTTTAATGTGTTGTGGCTTTTGCGTTTGTGTTGCAGCATTTGCATTAAAATAGTGTCCCATGGTCATTTCCGTTGTGGCTTTCTTTGGTTTGTTGTGGCTTTTTTGTTTGTTTGTGGCTTTTTTGGTTTTGTTGTGGCTTTTTGTTTGTTTGTTGTGGCTTTTTAGTGTGTTGTGGCTTTTTGATGTGTTGTGACTTTTGCGTTTGTGTTGTGGCGTTTGTATTTGTTGCAGCATTTGCATTAAAATAGAATCCCACAGTCATTTACGTTGTGGCTTTTTTTTGTTGTGGCTGTTTGGCTTTTTTTTTTTTGGTTGTTGTGGCTTTTTTGGTTTGTTGTGGCTTTTTGTTTGGTTTGTTTGTTTGTGGCTTTTTAATGTGTTTGCGGCTTTGCGTTTGTTTGTTGTGGCGTTTGTATTTGTTGCGGCATTTGCATTAAAATAGAGTTTTGCGGTCAGTTCCGTTGTGTGGCTTTTTTTTTTTTTTTTTTTTGGTTTGTTGTGGCTTTTTTTTTGGTTTGTTGTGGCTTTTTTTTTTTTTTTTTGGCTTTTTTTTTTTTTTGGTTTGTTGTGGCTTTTTGTTGTGTTGTGACCCCTCTCGGCTTCCGTACCGTACACCTGGGACATTTCTTTTATAAAACTGGGACAAATCAGTGGTTTTGTTTAAATCTGCAGGGACACAAACTCAAAACTGGGACGTCTGGACACTTGTACATGAAGACAGAAACTTTAACATTCCAGGCAAAGCAATAACATCTCCAAGAAAAAAAGTATTTGACTCGAGTGTCCAGACGTCCCTTTTTCTCCGGGACAGTCCCAGTTTTGAGTGTGTGTCCCCCGTCCCTGCAGATTTAAACAAAACCACTGATTTGTCCCAGTTTTATGCAAGAAATGTCCCCAATTTCTTTATTTCTGACCAATTTGATCTCTGCCAACAGTAAAGAGACACATAAACAGTCATTTGTTTCGGTAAAATACAAAAAAGCTGACTAAACAGAATAATTTCCCTTAATTACAGCTCGTTTCACATTTTTATTTTTACCAGCAATGACAAACCAGGGACGTCCCAGTGTTTTATTTTGAAAATCAGTCACAATGTCTGTTTTTTTTTTTTTGTGGTATTTTTGAGCTTTAAAACCAACTGTGATTGAATAAATGTAAAATAGAGCTGTTTAAAGTCACACTGTGGGACATTCCAGACAGAAATGACAAGCAGGTGACGGACGCCGGACCAGAAAAGTTACACAGTGCAGCTTTAGGAGTAAAATAATCTGACTGTAAAACCTGTTGTATGCAAATGTTTCTCAACTTATTTGCTTATTTAAAAGTTGAGTTTTGTTCGGACGGCGGCGACACTTTACAGCCTAGAAGTGTGTGTGTGTTTGTGTGTGTGTTGTGTGTGTGTTTGTGTGTGTGTGTGTGTGTGTTTTGTGTGTGTGTTGTGTTGTGTGTGTGTGTGTGTGTTGTGTGTGTGTGTGTTTTGTGTGTGTGTGTGTGTGTGTGTTTTGTGTGTGTTTGTGTGTGTGTGTTTTTGTGTGTTTTGTGTGTGTGTGTTGTGTGTGTGTGTGTGTGTGTGTGTGTGTTGTGTGTGTGTTTTTTGTGTGTGTGTGTGTGTTG